ATAAGGACGATTTCATCACCAAGCGAAGATGGTGTAACTGCTGACCATCGATTTTCACTCCCATATTATCCCATTCAAATGTTCGCATGACGTTCTGGAGGGTGGCGGTAAATAATTTTGGCGAGATGGTATCGCCTTGTCTAACTCCTCTTTTGACATCAATGTTAATATCTTTGCAGAATGGTGATATCTTGGTTGTGTAATTTTTGTACAGCTCACGAAGAATCTTTATGTACTGAGTAGGGACAAGGGCTTCCAAGACTGCTCCTATCTCAGTTGAGTCAAAGGCATCTTTATTGAATCGATGAAAGTGAAACACAGCGGTCTTTTGTATTCTCGCGATATTTCAATGAGCCTTGTTATCATGTGGATGTGGTCCATCGTGATAAATCCTCTTCGAAACCCTGATTGCTCACATGGCTGTCCTTCGTTTAGTGTTCTGCAATCCTGTTTAGGATGACTCGAGTGAAAAGTTTGTAGACGACATACAGTAAGCAGATTGGGCGATAGTTCCCGATATCGTGCATATCGGTCACACTTCTTAAACAATAACACCGTTTTGTTGGTCTTCCACTGAGTAGGGACCTTCCATTCAGACAGGTAACGTGTGAAGAGCCGAGCTAGTGTGTTTACGAGGACTGGCGGAAGGTTCTTCAGGTGTTCTGGTATTATCCTCTCCGGTCCTGGTGCTGTTCGTTTTTTCACCGACGAAGTAGAATGTCGGATTTCGGAAGCGAGAGCCGGTGGTGCAACATATCCATCCTCCTTTATTTCATATAACGGAAGCTGGACGTGGCTATCGAAAAGATCCGAGTGAATTATTATTCGTGAATTGTTTTCTCTATTACCTTTCTGGACGCTGTAACTGTTTCGTCTGGGCGCCGGAGTGTAATTATTTTGGTTTTGCAATTGACGAAGCTTCGGTAGGCTTTACGAATGCTTTTCCCATCCTCTGCAGCTTCGGCAACAGCATTATTGCTGCTCTTCTCTCTCTAAGATCTTCTTTTATCGCCTGTCTGCATTATTTTGCAAGTTTCTGCGCTAGTTCGCGGTTGCCTGCAGCTCGTGCGATTCCGCGCTGACCTGTGAGCTCGAGAGCTTCTGGAGACATAGGTCTCTTGGTGACTTTCGAACTATTAGCTTTCATAGCGCTAACGTGAAGATGTCGCATGAGCTGGTTATATGCTTCGTCGATGTTACCGATAACGACATCTTCCCAACAGTCGGCTAATAAATTGAATGAGCCCCAGTTTGCGGTTGTTCTGGGACTTCGCTTTTGGAATTTAGCGGCTTTTTCTCCTTTGCGCGAGAAATAGACTTGCACGAAGGAGGCGATGGTCTGATCCCGTGTAGAATTTTTGGACAACAGCGACATTGGTTAGGCAAAACCTGTTTACTATGATGTGGTTTATTTCGTTATGGTGCTCTCCATTGGGAGACTCCCACGTCGAGCGTTGAGGATGTGGCTTCTGGAATTGCGAGTTACCATGGATTGTCTTGGTCGCCATGATAAACTCAGACAGCCGCTCACCCTGTTCGTTCCATTCTAATCCGTAGGTCCCAATGTGACGTTCTTCAGACGTTTCTCTTGGTCCAATTTTGGCTTTGAAATCTCCGATGGTGACGTTGAAGAATGTGTGGTTTTCTCTACAGGACTTCTCCAAGTCCATATAGAACGCTTCTACTTCTTCGTGAGGGTTGGGTACACTCACAGGTAGCTTGCCAGGCTCTCGCAGAGTGGGTATGGAGCTTATTTGTTATACACTTCCCTGTCACTTGTTTGCAGGTTTTTGGCCGAATTGACTCGTGGAATACAATCCGCATAAGCAAGAACGCACCCACACACGCATGCATGAATACGCCTAGCAAATACAGAATGTGTCAAATCAGCGCAGCAGAAACAGGTAGTCCATCCCCTGGATCCACCTGCATCTCAGAGAAGCAAATATCGCTTTTGGTCCGCGATTAACCCCATATCCGCCACCTGGGGATGCGCAACGTAGCCTGGCGGCTAACCGGCTCGAGATCCGTCATATGAGACAGTTCCGTGGAGTTGAACTAAATATCGCAAGAAATATTATTGTAGTAGAGCTCTTCCTAAGGAAATAATTAATCTTCTTCTTAAAATAACTTTTTGGAAGAAGAAGTGTTCTGAAACCAGTTTCCATTTGCAACGAGTAGAAAAATAAAGGAAACAAAAAATGATCACATTCAAGACAGAAAAATTCCTGAACATTTCTTGGATTCTGAGTTAGGATCATTTTCTGTGTAAATAATGCATGGAGATTCCTGGTGAACAGTTCCAAACTATTAAAATTTCTTAAAAGTAACTCCCAAGTCCGACTTTCTATTAACCTCGGCATTGATTGAATATATCTTTCCACTTCTGTTCAGCAAACACGAGGTGCTATTTTATTTCTTTATTTACGCACAAGCTGACGTTTCGGCGGATTTCGCCTTCCTCAGAGCCTGGAAGGGTCAAGTTGACAGCAATCCACTAGGGCAAACACCTCCATAAACGCTAAACCAAGATTTCAATCAAATCACATTTAGCATAGTTCTGCACACTAACCGCTTTCTATGAGTCTTCTACTGAGTATGTCGCGTGAAGACCAACCGCTCAGAATTCACGTGGAAGGTAATGTGCCCCTCCCATCAGAATAACAGGTTTATATACTGTTTATACTCCCTGCGATTCATTTTCGGATTCTTGGAGGAATGCCTCGTTATCACGCGTGATATTGGACAGTATATAAACCTGTTATTCTGATGGGAGGGGAACATTACGCTTCCATGTGAATTCTGTGCGGTCGGTCTTCACGCGACATACTCATTGGAAGACTCATAAAAAGCGGTGAGTGTGCAGAGCTATGCTAAATGTGATTGAAATCTTGGTTTAGCGTTTTCTCTGTTTGGTTATGGAGGTGTTTGGCCGAGTGGATTGCTGTCAACTTGACCCTTCCAGGCTCAGAGGAAGGCGAAATCCGCCGAAACGTCAGCTTTTCGTAAAAGTAATCCCTCATTCTAGAGGGCGGTTAGCACAACGGTAGTAATGCCCATCGTCACGAGCATGGTTCTAGTTCGATTCCGCTCGGAACCAACCAAGCCCTTCGCCCCTCTGAGGTCAGGAAGTTGGAACCGGACTTATCTGAGAAAAAACCACTCTCTGCAATCCAATTGGGAACGCTCCAGACCGAGTATCTCAGGACTCCAGAGAGAATTACTCGACCAGCATCCCACGACATTTAAGACGAGATGGAAATCCTCAAGCAGGAACCGAAGCCGAACGTAAAAACTTGGAAGACCCTCGTGGACGATGGATGCGAAGAGACGAATTGAATGTGAGAAGTACTGGGATTCGCACGGTGGACGTGAAGACGGATCAAATTTCATGAATAAGTAGAACTTCTCGTTCTAACATCGAAGGAGCTTTGTTGAAAAATTATTTCACGCTAGAGTAAAATTGAGGAGGAGAACCACAAAATGAAATGAAAAGAAAATTATGCGAAACCAGAATCACATTTGAAAGGAAAGACAGAAGGTTGGCTGGAGATTTCCTGCTACACTCTACATAGGTCCGCTTCAATTTCAATTCAATTTTATCTCATTTTTCACATTTTACTTAAAGTACACATTGTAGGGATGCGTGTAACTCAGTGGTCAGGACGCCCTGTGATACACACGCGGGTTCGATCCCCACGCATGTGACTCACCAAGCCCCATCTCTCCGGGTTTGGCAGATTGGTACCAAACTTGTTTGGTAGGATAGTAGCACTGGTTCGATACATCGATAGGCCACCGCGAGTCACAAATATGCATTCAATCACCTCCAACGATGTTTAATGAAGCCGAATGCTTGGCGCATCACTCAGGGATTGATCAACACCGAGACCTTTATCTCTTTATCTTTGATGGACACTCGTATTCAGCGGCCGATGCGAGCGCTATTGTCTTCCCAGCTCAAAAGTTTTTTTCTCACTTTTTTTGCTGTCATTGTTTTAAATGCCATCATTATTTAAGGCTTAATTTTATGTAATTACAAACTATTCGCCGAAGTCCAGGAATGTTTTTTGGTTTTTAGGGATTATTGGACGATCAAATTCTTCCTAAGCTGAAACTATAGAAACCCTGCCTAATAATATCGTTTAGGGATTCTAGTCATCCAAGCCGCTTCAGTTATGCTGCGGCTAAGTTTCCGCGAGTGTTTCGTTTGCTTTCAGCAATGCAATGTTTTTTTCCATGTAGTTTTCGTTTAGTTTGTTGTTTCAGAGTTCTCTGAACCAAAGTTCTTACTGTGTCTTTTGGCCGAAAGGCGATGGATGTTAAAATGTTACCATTTGACATCACATCTGTTAAACCAGTTGTGAAAGTCCGCTCCATCCAATCCACCAATGGTTCTTGTAGATTTTCTCCACATTTTATGAAAACAAATCGTTGGCAATGAGAAAGAATCACGCTAGCCGTTTCATTCCATGGCGTCGAGTTACATCATCTGATCTGGTATACCTTCACTTCTGGATTTCCTTTACTTCATCTTTCCCATTCTTAATTTGCCAGATGTTTATTATGCAGCTCCCTGTTTTTATTTACAACGTTAATGAAGCCATAAATCTCGTTCGCCGGAAAAACACGTGAACAATCCGCGATGACAGAGAGAAATGGAAACAAAGACAAGAGATCCTATTTATAGTGCATCGTAATATATTACCTTTCGGTAAATAGGCCCTCAGTTCAAGTTGACGTCAACGATCTCCCGAAGGTCGACTAAAGACGCCCTGGTCGGCGGCGCTGCCATTGGTTGCTGGCTTGAGCGTCGCACTCTGCGATTGGTTAACGCAGCACTCGCTCCGCCCACTCCAAATTCTTGTCGTCGTGGTCATCCATCATAAAGCTAATGAAGATATAAGATGATTCCGAGCGGTCGAAGCAACCAATTCCTTTCCTTCCTACACACGTCTTTATAAAGTTCAGTTGCAAAATAATTCTAAACGCATCATATTATGGTGTCCCCAATAAGAATTCTTCTAATCGGCTTACTGCTTCTCATTGAAGGTAACTTGACTTGACTATTTCTAGTGGATTCGGAACAAAAACTGGCTCGTACATCGTACATATTCGATTTTTTCCTCAGAATTCGTTGTTTAGCCGGTTATAGTAAACCGTTGATGGAGTTATTCGAAAACATGATGAAGAAGAACACTGAGATCAAAAGTCATCGACTAATGCAGTTCATCTCCAAGGCTGTGCCATACGGTATTGAACCACCGAACCCAAAAATTGCTGAGTGAGTCATAGTTTATCGGCGATTTCCTCTCCTTCTCTCACCAGGAAAAAAAAGCAAGTAACTTATGCGATGACATCATCCAACAAAATTCGCAGATGCTAACTTTTTTAAAATCTACTTACTTACCTAATATTTGAATGGTCTGCTTTCACTGGCTGCGCGAGCCACAGCAAAATTTCCATTTTTTCGGAGTTTTGGTGGTTTTCTTATGATGGTTCTCTGGAGTCCCGAGGTCAGCCTAGCCAAAGCCTTCCCGAGGCCGTCATCATCACAGGCAGTCGCAGCCCTTGTGGATCAGAAGGAGATTTTCCACCGTGCGATTAGTTTAATACTAGAACGGTGGATCCTGCTATTGGTTTAATCTTAGGCGACTTTCCTGGTGGAAAAGCTGAACTTCTTCTCACTTTGGGAGACCCTGCTGGGGAGATGAATCCTGCTGTACATCGCATCCCGACAAACAGAAACGCTCCAGCCGCGATAACGTGGTATACCGTTGCGAGCAACTTTTTATCTTTGCTGCCTATTATTATTTTTTATATTATGTTATTGCATTGCTATTTAATACAAAGTTTTCAGGTATGAAACATTCAAATCGGATAAGTCAGCGAATTTCCTACATGACGGGAAAGGAAACGTTGTCTTCAGAGAATTTCGTCGGTTACGACTAGCCGATGTAAGTCCATTTGACATATTCGAAGTAAAGCGTAAATAATAACGCGTCCGATTCTGACAGGACCTTTAGGAATGCGTCATTCATGCAAGCCCATTCATAGTCTTGTAGAACTGATGAAATCCCTAGTTGGGCTGCAAAATGACCTGTGAGATACTATCGATGTTATAACTCAGTATTTTTCATACTCCCGGACAAGCTTGATACTAAATTGCCTATTCCGGTAAGATCGAATGCTTGGTAAGTTAGGCAGGATCAAACCAATGGCCCTGTTTGTACCTCTAACCCTGAGCTACACGTACCCGTTCAGCCAGCCGACTGCGATATATTCTGACAAAATTCAGCTTACATCCGACTCAAATATCTTTTGCGTTCTTCCGAAACCCCAGCTATAGACTTTTTTAAGAAACTAAGCCTATTCAGGGGTACTCACAACAAAGTTTTAACGAATGATTTGAATGTTGATGAGTGATAAATGAAGCGAGATTACGTTATAATAATGGATGACAATGCCTGAATGTTTTGCTGTTTGTGCTCAACAAGGCGGCAACTAGTTTCTGATTCCATTGAATCAGTCCGCTGCAATCTGTCATTTAATGAAGTTCAGGTGCTGCGCGGACGAGGTCGAACTGGAATCTAAAGGAAGACGGTGAACCATCAAATAACATACAACGATCTCTGTAACTCCTTTAATAATCGTCGATGATCTCCGTTGCCTTCCATTTGGAATTTCAGTATTTGTGTAAATATTCTTTTCTGTTTATATATCGTCGTGGATTATTTCATGATGAAAATGATGAGACGAGAGTGTTAATAAAGTCGTTTACACTCGAACACAATTCGTCCATTACGGTCTTTGGCAAGTGGATTCCCTTGAACGTTCTACTCCACCACCACAGGCAGCTAGCAGTTCCTCTCCGCCTTCATGAGACGTGGTGGCTCAAGTGTTGCTCTGGCTTTCTTTCTAGTTAGCTTTTGCGACAGAAAGTTAGCGACGTTGTTGGTCTTACAGTAAACTAGGAGAAAAATGACTGTACGAATGAGAAACAATAAGTCGTAAAAGGAAGAAAAAGGAGCTCTCGGAGTAGATCAATCCCTTTGAGATGCGTTATGTATTCAACTCCATCCATCATATTACATACAGAATAGAATGAATATTTGACTTTTGCATTATGTCGTTTCCTATCGATGTGTCAAGTTTGGTACTAATTTACTGACCGCTAGATTGGGGAATCGAACCGGTGACTAAGTCTGTATTGCAGACTCTAACCACTACTTTACACCCGTTCATACAAAGAACAATGCTAGAACAATAACTTGCTATAGTCTGATCCTAAACTAGGCACTTTGTCCGAAAGGATTACCGGATTGCTCAGACGACTAATAGAGATATAACTTCCAAGAGATCACCAATGGAGATATCCGAATATATTGCGCTTTATTTAAACACATCAGTAAAATGAAGATGAGGACGAGTGTAGTTTTCTTTTAAGCAGAGACCGATCTCTCATCTCTAGAATACAAAGGTTTAAAGAAAGTGAAAAAGCAAAGTTACTCTTCCACATGAGTTTCGGCTTCTACATCGTTCTTGAGTCGTCGATCATTTCTCCATCCCTAGTTTCATCTTTATTTCCGCTTCAATATCGTATCCAAATCAGATAGTTAGAAGGCCTAACGAAGTAGCCGTTGCCAAAGAGATAATTCCATTAGACCCATATCGTCTTGCAGATTTGGAAACGCTCTTTCAAGGTTAGGTTAGCACACCAGCGAGATTAAACTGAGCCAATAGCAATAGGCCAGCCTCAGTAACCCTTACAATGGGTGCTCAGTTCGGTGACATCATGTGTTGGGACGACAGGGAAGAGGCGACAAACTCTTGGGTAACGCAGGACGTCACTCGAACCGGATCTAACGACACACACGACAGGTCATGGATATTGTTTCCCACACTGCATGTATAATACAAGAACGTACCATAATATGGAATTAATAACGGAAGAGTTTTACACTCTCCCAACGGTTTGCCGCCTCATCGTGCGTGGGAGCTGTTCCTGGGTGTCGGACTGCGATCTTCAGTGGGGAATTTATCCTCTAGCAGGGTCTCCCAAGCTGAGAAGGAGTCCGGCGTTTCCATGTGGAAGCCTAGCGAAGAGTAAACCAATACCCGGATCCACCACCGTCCTAGTATTAAACTAGTCGTATGATGGCAAATTTTCCTCTAATCCACAAAGGCTGCGACTGCCCTTGGTGGTGAAGACCTGAGGCATACCTTGGCCAGTATGAGCTCGGGATTCCAGGGAACCACAATGGCTTAGCCATCAAATCTCTTAAAAAACTCTTAAAAATGGAGATTATGCTGGGACCCGAGCACCCACTGAGGACGGAGCATTCAAGTATCAAGTATCAAGTACTTTTGTATATTTAAATACATAGAAAGATCATATATTAATTTCCTGTGTATTGCGAAGCACGCGAGGTTGTAGGTTCGATGCCACTCCGTGGTAAGCCTAGACCTCTCTAGCTCCGGAGTTGATGAATTGATACAAGAGCTGTTCGGGGAGATAAAAAAACGGATTTGATACACCGTTAGGCCTCCACAAGTCACTGCATAGGCTAAATTTGCCTCCAATCACCAGAACGACGGTACGAGTGGAGTTCGATGCATAGCATCAATGAGGGATTGGTTAACATCGAGTGCTTCAAAATTTTGTTCTTAAATGTAGCGCACCTCAAGAATCGAAGAATTTCGCTCCCTTTAGGGCCCCTGGGCTTAGAAGAAAATTGTTTGATGTGTATAACATGGTTAGGAGATCTCAAGATCGCTCGTTCAGCTTTCGATTGTGAATAGTTTTGTCTCCACACATATAGATCCAGGTAGAATCCAACTGAACCAAAATGTTGTTACAGTGGGAAGTTTTTTCTCTTAAAATCCTGGAAAAGCACGGACTTAGATGTGAAGATATTAGAGATGCTAATTTCCAGTTCGTCATCACAGACAGCCCTGTCGTTAGCCATTTTGATAGAATGATTTTTCAAGTACCTCGGCAACCATTTCTAGATAGAAATCTTTGCTCCTCAACAATCGTATAGTTGCCGAAAAATACCTTCGAAAGGCCCATCAGCTCCAGAATATTCTATTATATTCTGCCATAATGAATGAGCTCAGATCTTGTTGGCAACAGGTGCAGATTCCAGTGGCTCTTATCCTGATTTATGAAAATATGTTTGAGCTCAGTTATATAGCATTTCAGAGCAGTTGTTGAAAAGGGCATTATTTTTGGGTCAGTCTAACAGTTACAATACTAACTCCTTACTATAACTTTATTCGGCGACTATCGATTGACAGTAAGGAGTCACGCACGACTGATTAGCTGTAGGATAGGATCGGGTTGTACCGTAGCACCAGCGATCTTACGGCAACTTTCCGGCAGTTCGTCAAAGTGTCCAGCCACCGCATGCCAGTCAGTGATGTCGGTAGCATGCCATTGCACGAACGAACGAACCAGTTCGATGGTCCGTGCACTCAGTCCTGACACGCAAACCTAGTAGAAGAATAGAAGTTTGATTAAAAAGAAAAATAACCGAAAAGCATTCTAGAAAACGTAAGTAGTGATGTATGTATTAAGCAGTAAGTCAAGAAAGTACGGCAAAAAGTAACCTTACACAACAAAACAAGCAGTTGGAATGAAAAGGCATTCAGATCAATGCATGCGATATGAGTGAAACAGAGATGAAAACTCTCTTATATAATGTCTTTTGGAATTAAAAACAGCCGCGAGCTGATTTAAGTTCCAAACTTCTGCTTGAATCCTTGGAATTCTGATATGTTCATCTTCTCAAATTTACAGATACTCAGGCAGTTCTTCTAAGCTATCAATACCAATCGATCAGTGTAAACCCTACCTCATCCACAATTGGTATCATACACTGTAAATAGCAGGCCTGAAATGAGCACAAAATACTCAATTCTTTTTCGTATTGATCAAGATCGGACGATAGGAACAGCTGCAAAAAAAGACATCGATTAACATAACGTAAGCTTTACAGCTTAAGTAACAAGACATCGATTAACATAACGTAAGCTTTACAGTTTAAGTAACTTTGTCCTCTAATTTTGAATATAACGTCTAACGTCTTTCTTAACTGTGTTCAATGTCGATTTCCGCTCCCTAGATCAATCCTGTTGACGGGTGATTGCTGATAACACCTATGAAACACGGCTGAGAGAAAGGCCAAACGAAGGACCCGCATGTTGCGGTGGTGAACGCGTCACTCCCCGGAAAGGACAATAGCGCGTTCGTTTCTCACCGCAGACACCTGCGATCCGGAGTTTGCAAATATCTCAACATCGATGTGGCTATATTTCACATCATACCAAGCCATGAAGAAAAGAATAGGCATTAAATAAAAAGTGATGACGTCTCATTTTAATAGAATCTACTAAGGACGAAAGAAATACATTGAAATTGCAAAAAGTAAAGGACAACTATCGTTGGCAATTTGACCTGTGGAATTGTTCAATGGAAGTTTTACGGTGATCTTTGAATAATAATAATAATCCCCAAATAGGAGATCGTCAAAAGAGAAGTTCTTTCAAATGAATAGAATTTCACAGATCAGCCAAGAACGCATCGATCAATCCTGTCTGTAACACTGTTTCCTGCATTCAGACTTATTACACACAGAAATTATGCATCGATTGATTACATCGATCAGTTGAGAAAATTAAAAAATTAGTAAGGTCTTAATAGCGGGAAACTCGCCTGATTCATAGAGCTTGACTTTTCGGGGATACTTCGTTTTCCCACTTCATTATGGCATAGATGATCGCACTAAAACGAGGAATTTTTAAAATATTTCAGACTGAATGCTTCACGTTTACGCACTAGATTTCCAAACAAGAGTAGCATTTCTTCACTAATTTTTCGTTTGGAGCAGCGTGTAACGTAGTAGTTAGAAATACCCCATCACACACATGTAGTCTTCGGTTCGATCCTGTGCCCGGACAAACCAAGCAAACCCGTCGCTCCGTGATTGTAAATTGGTACAAGACTTGTCTGGGAGGATGAGAGCACCGAGTTGACGCAGCGACGTCCTACGAGTCATTTCGTTAACGATCAAATACATTGCACAATCTCTAAGAGACTAAATCAACCCCGAACCTTCTTTATGTTTCTATTCCTTCGTCTTTATTTAGTGGGTTCTTGTTGGTTTGGATTACTACCGATTTGGATTTGTTATATTGCCCTTAAAGGGTTCGATAACAAGTCGCCAGAATCGCCGATGTCGTAAAGCAATTCGACTCATTAGCAACAATCCCTCTTTGGATATAGGCGGGTCAACGAGAAGTATTTATGGTGACTATCTGAGAGCAGCGGATGTGCAGATAGCTCTAGGGATTCTGAAGGAAATCAAGCTAAATCAGAATTCATCATGTCAATAAGGGAACAAGACTGCAAATCCTCATGACCTCTCGAAAAAAATTGCAGAGGAACATGTCATATTTGAAGACGAATCATCTACAAAAGTAAGCGCATAGATTAGTACTTTGTTAACTAAATGACTCCTTTAATTCTTATGATCACCTGTATTACCTGTCACCCTATTGATCATCGAGTGACTTGAGCCAGCGCCAGTAAATCTTCCATTTCTCACTGTTGCGTGCAAGCGTAGCCCAGTGGGTTTTGTTCGCTGTAGGGAGCTGTTGAGCATCATACCTTTCTTCTAGGGTTTCCATCAATGACTCTGACTATTGGGATGTTGGTATTCCTGCAATACTTTCGACATCCCAAGGAATCGTGTCACTTACGTATCTTCTTCACCGGTTGTCGTTCATAGCCATTATGTACTTGTCCCATATTACCTCCTACAATTAGGCGTATAGAACGGCGTCTTTGATTTTTGATTGCTAACGTAGATCGGAATTTCGGTTCCCTTCTTTCAAATTCACAATACGGGATGGTTCTCCTACCATGGTTCTCTCGAATGCGCGTTGAATGACGCTTAGCTACCTTTCATTCTGCTTAAGCGACCAGGTTTCTGAGTCATACGTTAAGGCAGGGAGAATTGTGGGGTCCAAATGGTGGGCACGGACTAGGGGTGCTCCTTGTTCTGTTCACTACATCATCGGCGTTCTTGAAAGCTCTCCAAGCCACCCGCTTCCTCTTAGTCAATTTTGGAGCTATATCATTCATTCTATTGGTATCTCGACCCATACAGGCATATCTGGAGCTTTCAGAGAGATTTATTCCGTTGAGCGTGAATAGAGTATAGCAAACCATTCGTTCTTCATGAACAACGTTTTTCTGAGACTGATTCGAAGACCAGTCTTTCCATAGGCGTTATCAAAGTCGAGAAGCGTTCGTTCCACTCAGCATTATAATAACGATGTCATCAATAAGGCGAAAATGTAATAATTATCAACCATCGAATTTCATTCAACTATTGTCCCACTCCGATGTTCGTATGACGTTTCGGAGGTAGGAGGTAAATAGTTTTTGCGAGATGGCATCGCCTTGCCTAAACTCTCATTTGACGTCCATTTTATTATAGTTATATAATGGTGATATTTCAGTTATGAACTTTTTACATGGCTCACGAAGAATCTTTATATACTGACTCCCTGCCAATTCCAGCCTTCCATGACTATTTCTATCTCAACTTAGTCACAAGTATTCTTTCTTTGATGAGCTTACACGAGGTTGATAATTATATTTATTTTCGGCTAACGTTTTGACATCTTCGTCTTCCTCAGAGCCGATGATCGGAGTCGATGGTCCACTCTTGTTATTACTCATTCGAGATGGCCCGCTGCGGAAGACCTGACTCGACACGAAGGCGAAGCTACCACATCGAGACGAATAACAACCGTGGACCATCGACTCGGATCATCGGCTCTGAGGAAGACGAAGACGTCGAAACGTTAACCGAAAATAAATGCGATTATCAACCTCGTGCTCATCAAAGAAAGAATACATATTGATTAGTCACACCGAGGTTCAAGGAAAGTCGGTTTCGAAATATTAGTCACAAGTCTTCATTAAATCGATTAAGGTAAGACAGAGTGGTCTCTTGTACTCTCGCGATACTTCGATGAGTTTTGTTATCGTGTGGATGTGGTCAATCGTACTGAATTCTCTTCGAAACCCTGCTTGTTCACATGGCTATCCTTCGCCCAATGTTCTGTCAACACTGTTTAGGATAACTCAAGTGGAAGGTTTTAGACGACAGACTCTAAGCAGATTAGGCGACGGTTGCCGAAATCGTGGAGGTCACCCTTCTTGAACAATAGCACGGTCTTGATGGCTTGCTCTGGATAGGAACCTTCATTGTAACAGGCAACGTCAGAAAAACCGAGCCACAATGTTTATGAGGACTGGTGGAAGGTTCTTCAGGTTTTCAGATCTTATCCTGTTCTGTCATAACCTGGGGCTGTTCGATTTTTCAACGGCGAAAAAGTATGTCGGATCCCTAGACGGAAAGCTAGTGAGTCAACATACCAATCTTCCCTTATTTCATGTGAGCATGGGAAGACGCGGCTATAGAACAGATTTGAGTAGTAAATGATTTTCTCCATCGCCTTTGTGGAAGGTGTAACTGCTCCGTCTGGGCGTTGAAGTGCAATCTTCTTGGTTTAGTAATTGACGAAGCTTCGGTGGGCTTAGGGAATGCTTTTTCTAGCGTCTGCAACTTCGATCATAACTGCTACTCGTTTCTGTTAATGATACTCCTTTATCGCTTGTTTGCAATGTTGTAGAAGTTCAGATGCTAGGAGTTGCCTACAGCACGTGCGATTCCACGCTGGCGTATCAGCTCGTGTTTTTGGAGACAGACGTCTCTTGTTGACTTTCGAACTCTCAACTTTCGTAGCGCTAACGTAAAGGTGTTGAATGAGCCGATCGCATTCCTCGTCTATGTTATCGAGAACGTCATCCTCCCAACCGCCGATTAATCGAATGAAGAAATCCTGGGTCTATGATGATTTTTGGACTTTTCTGAATTTAGCAGCTTTTTCACCCTTCTGAGAGAAATGAAATCTTACAAGAATGAGGCGATACCGTGTAGAATGGGACAACAGCGACATCGTTTAGGTAAAACCTTTGATTTACTGTGATCCTGTCTATTTCGTTGTGGTGTTGTGATACTTTCCACTGAGAGACTCACGCGTCCAACGTTGACAGTTAAACTTCTGGAATTGCAAGTTACCATGAATTGTCTTGGTTATCATGATGAAGTCATACAGCGGCTGACCCTGCTCGTTCCATTCGTAGCCCGTGGTCCTCAATTTTCATACGTTCTTCTTGGTCCAATCATCTCGTCAAAATCTCCAGTGATAAACTTAAACAATGTACGGTGTTCTCAGTAGAGCTTCTCCAAGTCCACATAGAACGCTTCGACTTTTTTTTTCAGGCAGTTAAACGGCCGAATGAAATAGAAAGTGGGTGAAAAATTCTGATAAAGAAAAAACGATGCTCTGTAAGTGGTGATTTACTTTGTTAAGACTTTACTGTTACTTCACATCTTCATTAACCCATTGACGACAATATAAGCTACCTCAATGTCGTAAAAGTTGCAAGAGTGAAAGAGTGTTATTCTAGTGATAGTAACAAAAGTGGTGCGATGACACAGATATTCATGCTGTTATCGAAAAAACTATTTAGAACTATTGGAATAAAAAGGATGCGACTCTCACGTTGCCAATTTTGTAACTTTACATGTCTGAACCTATGAAAGAGCGCCTTGCTCTTGATGACGAACTCACATCCAGTAAAATAAACACCTTGGTCTTTTTGAACCACATCTACCGTAACTGTGAGGCTTACAACTGGTCATGGACGAAAAGTAGAAGGAAAGTTCCTCTCTCTCGCAAATTGGTACCAGACTTGTCTGGGAGGATAGCAGCGCTGGCTCCAAACAACGGTAGGCGACAACAAGTCATTGTAAAGGCCAGATATGCATTCAATCACCTCCAAATGATGCTTAGTGAATGGCGCAGTCGAATGCATGGCGCATCCCTCAGGGATTGATCAACGCTGAGAGCTTTATTCTTTCATCCTGTTATATTCGAAATACTGTAATCTTCTGAAACACTAGTAACTACGGTAGCTGTTGCCAAGAACTTTACGAACATTGTCAGAAATTGCATAACCACAAAAAATCTTGCCTACATTATGATAGAAGGAAAGTTGTCAAGACCAATCATCACTGTGATGCAAATAGTAACTTATTGAGGCCTAACGATATCCCATGTCAATGTTCTTATTCTAGTGGACGATTCTGGCAGCAGTTTTCCAATCCAAGAGATGTAGGGTGATTCGTTTGTTTCGGCTGTAGGATCAAACCAACGACTATGTGTCTCGCCGACGCGCATCTGACTATTACGCTTCGCATGAACTCTAAGGTAGTTTAATGTTTTGGCAAACCTTTAAAAATGTGATTGGTTCCACATCAGCTAGACATTGTCGAACTTCTGTGAAATGAGTACGTTTAAACGAACAGATGAAATTTGACGGTGAAAATACCGTGTCCGCTGCCTAAAAGCGTTCATAGTGTTATAGCGCGTCAATGTCCCACATATCGCGATCTAATCAATAACTTACAGTATCTTTACATTGTACTACATAGCATTTTGTACGCTGTTCAGCAAGTTTACAATATAATAGGAATGTAGTGTAGTCGAGGACCAATGGATGAAATGGAAAGTCATAGAACGAATTTGCTGACATATTAAAGCTGTACTCGAAATCATGTTGGAATCTGGCATTACATCGCTGTAAAGAACATAGAACGATTAGTATTACTAAACGGAAGACAGAAGAACTTAGCTAGTAGACAGAAAGCTCTTTATTTAGAAAAAAACAATATTTTCGCTAAAATATGATCGATCGTTTAGCAGCTGAGCTGAGAATTTCAGAAAGAACTGTTTGTTGTTGTGACCAGGCCGACCCCGTAGCAGGAGATTCAGATTCAGGGTTTCCTCCAGCGGTTTGTAGACGATCCGCGACGATGTGCTTTTCATTCCTACCTTCTTTTCCAGGTACTTCCTATTCCTATTCACTTATCTATTCCTTCTCTTTTCGTTTGTGAGGTCATTTATTGAATGCCTTCATTTACATAAGTACTTCTAACACCAAGAAAGCCATCATCCTTTTTCAAACTAAAAATTTGAAATTAAAAATTATTTTCTGCTAAAACATACTACTTCACTGTGTGTGAGGTAATCTGGTGCCGATTGCTACATCAAAGATTTTACGGTGGAAAACAAACTGTTATCAACGGACAATCAGTGAACCAATAACTGTCCTCTATAAAAGAGCACAGCTGAGTGAGTGTACTTGCCCTTTCATGTTCCACTCCAGTGGATTCAAATCGATGTAACTAGAAGGAACCACATTGGAATAAGAAATCACTGCAGTGGGCAACCGATTTTGAAGAAGAAAAGGACGTCGAGACGATGGTTGAGTAATCTGCAACCTTGTGTTAGCTTATCGATGAAGAAAGTAAAATTGTCGTTCGTGTCCGTTAGGCTTCATAGCTTCTCAATGGGCTCGGTAGGATTGACGGACAGAAACAGTAACATGCTCTCCTACATACTTCCTTATTTTTACTGATTCTGCCAGGAAGTGGTTTTTAGATAGCCGGTCGTGTTCTGCCGTGACTTATGTTCAGACATACCAGGGTTTCTTAATGTAGGTATTGTACTCTTTCTTAGCTAAAGTGATCTTTACCAAGAATGATTCTCTTAATGCGACTACAGAGAAGCTCAACACACCAGAAAGAATCATCCTTGAGGATCGTCATCAGTTCGAAATACCAACGCCTTTACTTCACAGCCAAATAATCATCAACATCTCCACGATGTCTCCTATCAGATCAATTTCAGGGCAACCACACTCAGTGAGTGGTAATTCAAGTTTTCGCGGCTCAATAACATCGACACCGAAGTTTTTCGTCCTTCTTTAACACTACCAATACTTATATCCCCTTCAATGTTGACATCCGGAAAACTTATCCATATTGAATCGAATATTGATCGACCATACAAGACAAAATTTGAGAAAGCTCAAACAGCTTGCGCTAACAATCTTACGTTTAAGATTCATATGCGAAATCTCCGAATCTGATGAGACCATCCAAAAATCTATGGTCCTCGGAAAGATCATCTATTATCTAATCCGAACACAGAAGTTTTCCTGGTACTTACGTAGGTTCTCTTCTGATCAAGGAACAGTCTATGAGGAAAGAACTAATGCAGATGTTCTCACAAGCACGCATAACCATAACCAAAGCTCAATGACGCCCGCAAGCTACTGAGCTTTTTCTCCAACAAATCCACTAATCCTATTAGAGTAATTCATCCGAACACAATTCACTTACAGTACGTCTCATGGGGACGTGCACAGTGGTAAAATCTACTGACCATCAATCAACAATGCATTTTCAGGTTTTCCATTGTTTCCGTGTGTTAAATGGGACTACGGTACGTCTATTTATATCGATAGCAACTTCGTTCGGGAACAAAATAGACGGCGAAGAATCGACACGAAAGTTTAGCACTTATAGGGACATATCGTATTTAACGAATTTTCTTAGTTCCCTATATCAATGGATCAATAACATCAACTCTCAAGAGTCAAAAGAATAACATTCACCTGGAAACAATCGGCATCGGTACCGTTCTCTTCGGATATATACATAAAATCGCGTTTTAATCGAAACGATTCAGCATTTACTATTATTAATACTACTACTAGACAAGTAGTAACGCAAGATCGAATAGTCATGACCTGAAATGTCTTCATAGAAAAACTCTGAAAAACTCCGCGCTAAGAAATATCTGAACTATCGACAAGTGGAGCGCGCATGTGCTGCAGTGGTCAGAGGAGCTCTGCAACACACAAGTATGTTCGACTCCCATGACCGTGGCTCACAATCTTACAGACTTGCCTGGGAGGATACAAGCACTGACTCGATACATCGGTACGCCAGCTCGAGTCATTGTAAAAGCCAGATATGCATGCTATCACCTCCAAGCGATGCTTAATAAAGTCGAATGCATGGCGCATCCCTCATGATCAACGAGCTTTATCCTTTATTGATAAGTCGACTAATGTGTCTCCACCTTCTCTACGAATAAGTTTGCATTTTCGCCCGAAAATCCCACAAACACCGATGAATCGTCGACAGTTCAGAACTTCTCCACTGTAATCGGCAGTTTATGGCGATCCTTCATTAGCTTCAACGATCGACTAACCGCATCTACTTGCTATCGTTGCCAAACGGTGAACAGATAAAAAACAGGAGCGAAACACGTTACATCGAAGGGGAATTCGTAACCTTCAGATAAATTTGCCCTTTATGAAGAAATCCTCCTATGTGATGGCTTGGACATAGAGTTCTGTTTTTGATGGCAGTGACGTTGAAGAAATGGTCACAAAGGTAATATACGCTTAAGAAATTACTAAGTTACCAGTGGAACCAATAGCAAAGAGCACAGTACGAGTTTCCAAGCAACGTAAAACTTCCAGTAACTAGAAGCACTGCATCACCAATACAAATATAGCCTAGCTCTCGCACTTAAGCTATACCAATGTAGTCTGAATCGTGAACGAAACTATTAGAAAAAAGCTTGAAAGTAACCCTACGTAATATTCAGATGTAACAAGTCCATAATACGGTGAAAAAAATGATAGAACATTTCTAGTGGCGACGTGAAAATACAGAGGCGATAGAAATCTGTAGCTGCAATCAGTTGGCGTCCGACGCAAATCAATCTAGGCCATGGCGAGAACCTCGAAACGAGATATATAGCGTATGTTCGCGACGTCATCGCACACACCGCTTGAGGACGGGCCCCTGGTCTGCGAACCTATGGTCCACCTTTTCCTTGGGCAGACCGTCACTTGCACATGGCTAAATTAAAAACAGCAAACAAAATCATCTATCCAAGTCAAGCTGGCCAACTGCTACGTCATAAGCGGTCCATCCACACAACGCGAGCCACGATCCACATCAGCTCCACCGTTGCTACTCACATCTCAGTAAAATACATCTTTCCTCATTAGTTTGCGTAGTCTTCACTGCTTCTATTCTAAACCTTCTTTAAACTGCACTTCAACGGAATGATTGTAAAATAATTTAGCAATATAACAGATAAGCATAAAGCACGTCAAATGATCCAAAAATCATAATTAACAAAACATTTACGTGACTGTGCAGCATGATAGTTGCAAAAGAACATAATGAGATGCACAATGATGTGTTTCACGACTCCGCTGCGTAAGTGTCGTTCTCAACGACTTCTTCGATTTCACCTTCATCGTCAGCGGTTGCCTCTTGGTATTGCTGGTATTCTGACACGAGATCGTTCATGTTTGACTCAGCTTCAGTGAACTCCATTTCGTCCATACCCTCACCAGTATACCAATGCAAGAAGGCCTTACGGCGGAACATAGCTAAGAAATCACAAAATTTAAGCAGTAAAATATACCCACGAAGTGTGCGCAAGTGCCAAAAAACTAACCTGTGAATTGTTCCGAAATACGCTTAAACAACTCTTGAATTGCAGTAGAGTTTCCAACAAATGTGGCGGACATCTTCAAACCACGTGGAGGGATATCACAAACGGCTGTTTTTACGTTATTGGGAATCCATTCAACAAAGTATGATGAGTTCTTATTCTGCACCGACATCATCTGATCATCAACTTCCTATAATACAGTCACCGGTCAACGATCGCGTTTTTTGCTTGACTTCCTCAATAAGACTACTGTATAATGGCTTACACGCATGCTCATACGTCCTCGGAACATAGCTGCAACAGTAAGGTAGCGTCCGTGGCGCGGATCGCATGCTGCCATCATGTTTTTCGCGTCGAACATCTACAAAAATATATTTCGAATTAGTACTGCCAATCTTACTCTCACGAGGTATCCATAACACGCACCTGCTGTGTGAGCTCCGCAACAGTTAGTGCACGATATGCCTGCGCTCCTTTAGCTGACAACGGAGCGAAACCCGGCATAAAGAAGTGAAGTCGGGGGAATGGCACCATGTTCACGGCTAGTTTGCGGAGATCAGCATTCAGCTGCCCGGGGAAGCGCAGACAAGTCGTCACTCCCGACATTGTCACGGAGACTGTAACCACAAACGTCATTCCACATAATGTCGCGCATATTGCATTAGTACTCCACTCTACTTCGCATTGTCTAGTCCACCAGTAACAGCTGTTACGGCTAATCCGAAATTCCAGAAATCTGTGTCGGTTCCATTATTTCGACTTTTCATTCGACGCTAAAGATTACCACCATCTACTTTGCATATTCGGAAGCATATACACTTCTTACTACAACACTACCACAAAATTAACCTCAACGCCTAGAAAGAGCCTCTCCTTAATAAATCCGGCAACCAGCATCGTGCTCCAATAACTCCCTGTAATTCCAGTCATTTCATAAGATTTTCAGTCAACTTTATCTTTGTGACTTCTTGCTTGAACGAGTTTCTAAGACTTCAACGTGTTGTTGAAAAATAGCAATGAACTATTGACTATTCTTGTCATCCATCTCACAAAAGATTTCCCTGGGGAAATGTGAAAACAGCACTGAAATGCAAAGACAATCGATATGCTAAAACGAAGCTATAAATTAACCATTTCATTAAAATAATGAATGACAGCTATACTTTCAGAAAGGGAACCGATTAGCCCTAAAAGTCGCACGCAACGACATTTCACCAGGTATCACAAGACCTTGTAATTTCTCAACAAATACCTTAACTTTACTGGAGATTCGTTAAATATTGTACTGTCAGCAAAAACTTGTATCATATTGCTGCCTTAACCACACTAAACCTGGAAGCACAAATGTTCACAGTCACTTGTTTTTATCATCGTAATCTTGTTCACCATAGGCTAACATGAACAAACAGCAGTAAAACCTCCATCTCATTATTGTCCAGCATAACGAGGGCAACTCACTCCACTCTGAAGAACGGATATGCTCGCAAACAGCTTCTTGAGATATCTTACAGTAGACCTGTCGACTCAAATCCGCCTTAATGCTACCTTGCTTTCATGAACACATGGTTTTGTTCGATCCATGTGCAGACTACAGTCCGTATACAAGCAAGCAAACCCACGCACATATGTATGCATAAATTACATACACACAAAGGTCCAGACCAATCCGGTGCAACATTCCATCCAGCGCCTCTCAGTGAGCGCTCTCCGCCCTATGAACAACCCTTCACCCACCTCCTCGCTGCCGCTAACAAACAAATGATCTCCAAATAATGCAGGTCGTTAGAGTCGTGACCACAGCGATGGCCTAACCTTAAAATAAGTACATACCTGAGTACATTTCGAAAATATATTGCAAAATCTCCAGGCAGCTATACCACAACTACCTGACAGGACTAGTAGAAAACATTAGCTTAACACTATACTAAAACCATAACAACAGCGTATCTGCTCAAATTCATAACAAAGACTGACCAACTTTGTCTTTAATTTGACATATGAATTCAGGAATCCCTTATGAGTCTAAAAACTCTAAAGCACGTCATAGTTGAAAAGATCAATTCAGCATTTAGCCGTACCCATGCATTCGATTACGAACGTACTTGAGTACTATACGACTTAACAGATATCTCCTTTAAATAAAGATGAAGATAAGGCCATACATATGACGGATAATCGTACAAATAACCTTCTAAGATTACAAGACATACCAAGATGATTGAGATCTCCATAAGTTGGGTTGGTTAGTTTGAGCGTTCGGAAACATATATCGTAAAGAGCCTCATTATCTATGCAGAACGTCTCGTCCGTATTTTCAACAAGCTGATGGACAGATAGCGTAGCATTGTAAGGCTCAACTACTGTGTCTGAGACCTAAAAATGTATAAACAACAGGTTCAAGCTATGTATATTCCTCTCTACTTCTGTTCAGCGAACACGAGGTGCTATTTTATTTCTTCATTTACGTACAAGCTGACGTTCCGGCGTATTTCGCCTTCCTCAGAGCCTGGAAGGGTCAAGTTGACCGCAACCTATTCGACCGAACACCTGCATAACCAAACAGAGAAAACGCTAAACCAAGATTTCAATTACATTTAACACAGCTCCGCACACTTACCGCTTTCTATGAGTCTACCACCGAGTATGTCGTGTGAAAACCAACCGCACATAATCCACATGGAAGCGTAATGTGCCCCTCCCATCAGAATAACAGGTTTATATACTGCGCTATATCACGCGTCATAATGAGGCATGCTTCCCTGCGGTTCATTTTCGGATTTCTGGAATTAATCCAGAACGCCTAGAGTTTTGTGCGCTTGTGTTCTTGATTCCTGCGCGAGGATCGTGGTACTTCAAACTCCTTCCCGTTATGTCTCTGGGTCTTATGCGTGCCTAGCGGGGTATTTGGTTTATGTTTTCCGGCTTTTATGCGGACACAGAGGAGTCTGCCCGTTTCGCAAATGTATTCGTCTCCACACGCCTTACAGGAGATCAGATAAACTATACCCGAATTCATGCAGTCACCGTCTCTACCATTGGAGCAAATTATGCAATTTTGCGTTGCACATAGACGGTCGTATAGGCGGTTACGAACTAGCTTGCGGCTTAGATTACTCGGTGGTATTTCAACTATCGTTACCGAATTCTGTAGACTGGCCCTTCTTAAACAGCCTTTTATAGCTGCACCTACTTCATTTGAAATGAAAGGCAGTATAAACAAGACCTTGTTGTCCCTATGGTTATCGTTGGGTACCTGTGGTTTCCTCTACACCTTTCTCGAGCTACAGTTTCGTAGCAATTAAAAATGGCTATTTGCCGCGCCAAGTTCAGGAACTCCTCTCCCTGCTGTTTTCCTGTGCACACGCTGGTAGCTGTTCGATACATGTTTCTCACAAGCGCCCTTTTTGTGTGAGAGGGGTGAGAGGAGAGGTAATGAACTAGGATGTTTTTACTACTTGGCTTTCGATACCACTCCGTAATGTAGCCGTTTTCTCATAGGCTAATTTGCACGTTCAGAAATGGAAGCCATTTTTCTTTTGGTTTCTCTCGGGTTAATTTAATATACTCTGAGCGCTCGTTCAACAGCTCGAAACATCTGTCAATTTCTTCTTGTGTTGAACAAATGACCAAACAATCATCTATATATCTACAGTAGAGTAACGGATCAAGGTCGATTACTGGTGCTTCGACCTCAGACATGAATGTAGTGGCAAGGTTTGGTGCTAGTCGTTGTCCCACAGCCAGCCCTCTCATCTGTGCGTAATGCCTCCCGGACCATCCGAGGATTGAGCAGTTTAGGCACTCCTTTAAGAGTGCCATCAACTGCTGAATGTATATTCCAACAAATAAACAGGTTCTGCAAGGCGAGGTAGGCCGCTAATTTTTCATTGTGACCTACTACATTCTTGGTGTTAATTTGTGATGACCCTTACCTCGGCTGTCGGTTTTGGGTAACATCAAAAATTCAAAATCAAAGACATAAATGTATAGAATCGCTCAAATACTTTCAAACACAAGCTGGGTTTATAATGTGGAAAAAAAGTCTACCTTAACAACCAACCTTTGGTGACGGTACAACTGAAAACGAAGCCATGATACGGTCGGGGTACTCTTCACGGATTTTAGCTATCAACAGCGTTCCCATTCCTGATCCAGTACCACCTCCAAGTGAGTGAGTAAGTTGAAAGCCCTAAACAGAGAATTAGAAAACACACCCAGTACAGAAAACAAGATGTGCCTAACCTGGAGACAGTCACATGCTTCAGCCTCTTTGCGGACAACATCAAGAATATTGTCAACGAGCTCAGCACCCTCTGTATAGTGACCCTTGGCCCAGTTGTTTCCAGCTCCAGACTGCCCGAAAACAAAATTATCTGGGCGGAACAGTGCACCGAACGGTCCGGAACGTACGGAATCCATCGTTCCTGGTTCCAGATCAACCAAAATCGCTCGTGGGACATATTTGCCGCCTAAATTAACAGCTTTACGTGTCTAAAATGTGGAAAAAGCTACATACAAACCAACCGTTAGCCTCGTTATAGTAAACATTGATCCTCTCAAGCTGAAGATCACTTTCACCTTTGTAGGTCCCATCAGGCTGGATGCCATGCTCATCAGAGATAACCTCCCAAAACTGAAAAAACCACAAAATATCTCACTATGTCAATGTCCATCGCTCCGAAATCGTGACCTATGAAACATGTGCGCACTAGGGACAACGATTCCGATTCCAGAGACGCTGCGTCACCAAGGCTTGCTCGCAATATGTAACTTCTTCAAGATGATTTCACAACTTCATCTCATACAATTTTTGAACACTACACCGTCCAAAAATGTAACGAACCTTTCCAGAAAGAACTAAACACACCGCGAACACGAGTTGTGTTCGAAACTTATTGAAAACGCAACAGAAGACAACAACTCACCTTCGCTCCAATCTGGTTACCGCACTGACCGGCTTGTATGTGCACAATCTCACGCATTTCTTCAGGAAGTTAGCTGAGATCACCACTAGACTGAAATCAGGCGAATTGAATGAACACTAAAGACCAACCGCTACACGTACGCAACGCGACACGAGATTGGCGCCACCTCACCACCACTCACACACGGATAACGTCCGCCACTAGGCGGAGTCAACGAATCAGCAGCTCGTGCAGATCTCGCCCCACCTCTGCTTCGAGAAACGCGGCAAATTCAAACGAGTTCCGACGTGGAGCGCGTTTGCAGAACTCTGCAAGTGCCGGTTGATTTTCGCGCCAGCCGTCCGTGACTTCGGCGTCGGCTGAGTCATCGTGCGCGTACATAATGACGTCACTGTTTCTCAACGATTGCACTTCCTCGGGCTATTCATGGTTTCAACATCCTGGATCGATAAGGAGGGATTCTGTGGCACTGGTCGCGTTAGCTGCAAGTATTGGCCTGCGGATCACTGATGAAATGCGATGGGTGCAGTTATTTCAGTCATGGTCAGAATAATGGCATTCTTTTCTCTTTTACGGATAAAGAGACATTTGCACCAGACTTTTCTTTGGAAACATAAATCCATAACACATCCGGAATGATGTAATCGAAAGGGACATGTGGTAAGAAAATCTACTCCAGTGTAAACGGGATCTGGAAAACCACAGTGTTTGTTGAAGTCGAGATATCAATACTTGATTGTAAATGGACTTATAGGTTTTCCAAAAATCAATGAGGTGACGACAATAAGTGGGGTAGCCAATGGAGTTCATCGCTTAGATGGAAAGCGAACCAGTTAACTTAACGACTATTAGACTCAAACAACTGAAGACGGTCTTCCAGACAACCTTCTGCACTGCAGAACCGAGCCTCGGGATCATAGAAAGGAATGACGGATGATGAAAACGCATGAATGGAAAAAGCGAAGTCAGAATGGTCCGTAGGATTGATGGTACGGGGAATAGCAAGACGAATAACACTTGTACACCTGCTCGGTGTGTCTTCACCAATTCTGAAAAATCTTAAGTACCTCGGCACAGCTTCCTTTTGACTCAAGGCCGCTCTAAGGAGTAGCCAGGCCGTCACAATTTTCTAGCTACTAACAAGAACATAAGCTACAAACCACAGAAATAAATCGCACGCACCATGTTTCAATTCTCTGGAAGAGGTAAGCATCCTTGAAAAATCAGACAAACCAAAAAAAGAGAAGAGAAACAAGTAATGTTCACTAACCAATAGCGTAACAACTACCACTGAAGCGTGTCGACAGTGATGTGTGTATTGAGCAAATATGTAATGTAATAGAATGCCATAGTTTTTCCCCTACACATTACAACAGTTTTATAAAGCTTCCACAATTCAACACACGAGCTATAATTGTGAGCGCGTATTGCGCAGTGATTGGAGGCGCACCACAATACGCAAGAGATCGATCTCCGCACCCGTGGCTCGCCAATCCCTCATCTCTTGGGGCTTAGCAGATTAGTACCAGACTTGTCTGGGCGGATAACGGCACTGGCTCGATACGTTGGCAGACCACCACGAGTCATTTTATAGGCCAGAAATGCATTCAATCACCTCCAGCGATGCTTAATGAAATCTAATGCATGGCGCATCGCTTAGGGATAGGTCAACACCAAGAACCTCATCCTTTTTCTTTTACACTTTTACCACAATTCAGTGGTTAACAATTACTCTTCGTGAGCTAAACTTACCGAGTTTGCGTAAATATAAACCCACACGACCTCCATCTATGGTGATCCATGTATGCTAAATTAGACGCAGATCCTTCAATTTTGATAGCGAAACTGTTCTAAAACATTAACTGCTAACTAGTGGGAAGCGATGCAAGTCTGATTCAGCAGTCATCACAAAATCCCACAGCACGTTGCCTCCGACACCAACTGACAACGAAGGATACGGCTAATAGAACTATCTCTCCTGATTCTCTCCAGTTACTCTTGATTGATATGACAACTACTGGTTGCTCGTCTGCCACTAAATCTACTGCTAAAATTATCCAAGTGATTGCAGTTATCGGCAAAACCTGACCAAATACACAGTGCTTGTCAGGTGTAGATATTTATAGTTCGCAACACATTCAGTTAGCAAAACAATTCCATAGTGACATATATAACCCTGCATTTATCGGCTAGTGTTCTGGAAAAACAGTCCTCTTTATGTCCTTTCACACTGTATGCTGCCACGAATATTTCTATACTTTGCTTATCTTCTAACACCCATTCACGGAATAATGGTAATCATTTTGTCTGGGGGTTACCACATACGAAATGACGTTCTTCCATCATTTATCTTCATTGACGTTTTCAGCGTCGGTACAAGGATAAAAGGATGAAGTTCTCTGCGTTGACCAATCTGTGTGATGCGCAATGCATCTGCTACCAGTTTGCCGACCCCGGAGGGATGGAGAGCTTGGTGGGCCATGTGCGCAGGGATTGATTTCACGTGTGTGTCGCAGTGGCGCCTCCAACCATTGCGCCATACATGCCCTTCAGCGTCGGTCCAGAGTGGTAATTCCTGGGATTCCAAGGTAACAGCCGTTACCACTTCCGATTCCTGTGAATGTGAAGTGATTCCTGTACGGGCAGAGAAGCCTACGGTGGATGACAAGGCAATCGAAGACGACGTAGAATAGTAGTTATTCGACAAGCATCCTTTAAAAACACGGAAAAAACTAGCAGTCAATGCATGACGAACTCCGGATACAACATATCAGATCTCGAATAATGGAACACCTATGGTCTATTTGATCACCACTTCCTACTTTCGTTCGCGTTTCCATATATCTCTTAGCAAAAGAAAGAAATGTACAAGGACGTGGAAGATTAACAAATTCCAGCCACTTGGTGATAATGGTGGACGAGCATGCATCGGCGAAACTGACAAGTTCGCTGACGTCCGTTAGTGCTGACGGCGATGGTACGACAGACAGTGTGAAGGAATAATGGAGTAATTACAGTAAATGTCGATTGCACTAGTTGGTGTAAACATGTTTATGTGAGTATAAATGGGCGTAACACATCTAACACTTCCCAGTTGAACACCTCGTTTTACTTCTTTGAGACAAATCCACCTTTTTGTGTCGAGATGATAATCACCTAGTGTTGGACAATAAAACTTAGCAGTTTTATCCCACTACCTAGCATCGCACCACTGGTAAAATTATTGAAAATAAGGGACGATTCGCATTCAGAAATCCAGGCCACAGTTAACCAGTTTCAAGAATCATAGCATCCTGAAAGAAATCTTGTAGCATGGTGGAAAACATCTTTATGACCGAAGATCGGTGGCCATGATCTGGGAAAGCCAGCAAAGTGGGAAGTTGTGTTGGGTCATAGACGATTCTGCATGATGACTACCTATCCAGATAATGAACACTGAGTAAAACTGCAGCATAAATAAATATCTCCTAATGAATGATAGTTAAAAAGATAACGAATGAAGCTTTCGGAGTTGATCAATCCCTGAGGGATGCGTCATGCATTCGACTTCATTAAGTATCATTTGGAGGTGATTGAATGCTTATCTGGCCTTTACAGTGACTCACGGTAGCCTATCGATGTATCGAACCAATGTTGCTATCCTCCCAAACCAGTCTGGTACCAACTTGCCCTTCCGAAGGGATAGAAGGCTTGGTGGACGGCCATGGGAGTGGGAATCGATTTCACGTGTGCTGCAGAGCGCCTCTGATCACTGCGCCACACGGGCCCTATGAATGGTAGTTGGAAAGGGAAATTTTGAGAAATATAAAAAAAGCGATATTTTTTTGGCATGAAGAACTTCCAAATCCAAGAGAAAAGAGGAATATAAACGTTTACGAACAGAATTTACAAGAGCCTTGCTAGGGATCGTAGCCGACCAACAAGCTTGACGAGTTCTGAGAAGTGATCTTTGCAGAACCACATTTAACCCTAAACACTGACTTTCTCCACAAAATTAAGATAAAATCTAGAGCTCTGTAGCACATTACAGCCTCTCTGGATAGAACTAATGAAGGGACCAATAAAAAGACATAAAAAGACAGTTTCTAATGGCTACGAAACTGTAGCTCAGAATACGTGTAGAGGAAATCGTATGCCTCCAAACGACAACTCTAGCGATAGAAGGGTCCCGTTTATCCTACCCTTCATCTCAAATGATATAAGTACAGCTATAAAACGCTGCTTGAGAAGGGCGGGCTTAGAGAATTCGGTAAGCGTAGTTGAAATACCACCGAGTAATCTTAAGCGCCAGCTAGTACGTATCCGCCTATATGACCGTCTATGTGCAACTCAAAATTGCATAATTTACCCGAGTGGTAGAGACGGTGATTGCATGAGCTCGGGTATAGTTTATCTGATCTCCTGTAAGACGTGTGGTGACGAATACATTGGCGAAACGGGTAGACCCCTCTGTGTCCGCATGAAAGAACACCTAGCCGGCAAAAATAGACCAAATACCCCGCTAGGCACGCATAGGACCCAGAGACATAACGGGGACGACTTCGAAGTATGTGTCACGATCCTCGCACGCGAATCGAGAACACAGGCGCGAAAAACTCTCGAGGCACTCTGGATTAATTCCAGAAATCCGAAAATGAACCGCAGGGAAGAATGCCTCATTATCACGCGTGATATAGGGCAGTATATAAAACTGCTTTTCTGATGTCAGGGGCACATTATACTTCCACGTGATTTCTGTGCGGTTAGTCTCTACGTGACATGCTTAGTGGAAACCTCATAGAAAGCGGTGAGTGTGCAAAGCTGTGTTCAAAGTGATTGAAATCTTGGTTTAGAGTTTCTTTGTTTGGTTATGGAGGCGTCTGGCCGAGTGGATTGCTATCAACTTGACCTTTCCAGGCTCTGAGGAAGGCGAAATCCGCCGAAACGTCAGCTTAATCGTGAACAAAGAATAATAACACCTCGCGTTTGCTCAACAAAAATACGAAGAAAATCACTTGATCAATGCCGAGGTTAATAGAAAGTCGGTCGTGGCAGTTACTAAAAAGACATAGTTTTCT